AGGCGTGTAGTTAATGATTACCCTGAAATGAAACAGTCCGCAGTAATTTTTCCTATCAAACGTCTGCTCAAGAGGAACAACTTGTTGCAAGATGGTACGTTGGAATGTCAGCGCTCCAATAGAAGCAAGAAACCAGCAATTTCCTGTAAATTAAGTTTAAAAAGATATTTAAAAAATATCAAGTTAAGCACAATCTATTAAAAATATCAACACCAGAAATATAATTTTACCAACAAATCCTTGACCGAAGTCAAATCTGGAGACGCCATCAAGCACAAAGGCTGGATTAGGAGACATTTTCTGAAAAAATGCAAAAAATATTTTTGTTTCTCTCTCTGTCAGGAAATTTGCAGTAGATAAAAGATAAAAAGAAAAAGTTTTGTAAAGAAAAAGCACAGAAAATTGTTACTCTGCAACATTAAAATGAACTATAAGCTAGAGAAACATGTTTTTTATGCCTCAGCTGAATGCTGACAGGCTATCCTGAAAGTTGCTAAAGTGGTAAAAGTCCAGCTAAATGTCGTAAAACGCTATAGCAAAAAGCTAGTTATAAGCCAAAAGTAGCAAAAGGCTAGCTAAAAGTTAAATATAGCAAAATGGTAGCTAAAAGTAAGCGTCTCCTTCATATTGTTTAAATCTTAATCACACCTAAAAAAATGTGGATCCAAAAATATGACCAGCTGATTAAAGATTATTATTAAATATGACGTTTGCTCACTTCTGGTCTCAGCCACTCCACTTGGTCCAGGTCTGTGGGATTCAGGATCTCCGGACCAATGGACTTCCTGTCCGGGGGAAACGATTCATCGATGAATTTAACATTTCTGATCATGCAGTACTCTTTCAGATGCTTGTAGTCCTGTTTGAGGAAGCGCTCCGGGTTGGTGAGGGTCCCATAACCATCCTGTTTTTGACGGGCGTCCATGATGCTTTGGCACACACCCGGAGGAGGCATCGCTGCAGTTTTCAGGTCTGACTGCAAGAATTTTAAAACAGCATATGTTAAATTCTTAATCATTTGTGAATCTGTAATGAATTGCAATAGTCCAGGCAGAATGAAATCCAAGCAGGAATGTCAGGCTCAATATTCCCCTGGTGAACAATTTATTAATCCTCCATAGGTTCTCACGAAGCAAAAAACAGGTTTGGAAAAATGAGTTTGCAAAAGTATTTAAGATGAAGCTGCAGCTCTACCAACTGTGCCACCGTGTCGTACCACTATAAAATATTTTAAAATCACAAAATATACTGTTTAAAAAAATGTACATCACTAGAAGTGTCAAGTATAAAAAGCAGGCAGCATAAAATAAGCAAACATCATGATGATGAAGTTTAAGGAAATGTCATACCTGTCTGACTCTGTCTGACGCTGGTTGGACCAGCAGGTGTAAGACAAACAGCTTGTAGTCTCACATTTATACCTGCAGACCTCATGACTCTGCTGAATTGGTGAGGTGCCAAAAGGTTCTTACATGTAACTGTAAATTCTCGTTTGACACCCTCCTCCTCCACTTGATTTCTTTTCTGTGAAAGATCTCTGCAAGCTTTAAGTTGTTTTCTTTTGTCTATTTAACGAATGTGGTAAAACGAGACAGACGGCAGCCCGGTTTCAACCTCCATAATCATTTAAAGTGCAAACAATTCCTGATTTTACAAACTATTCTGCAGAGTAAGAGTGTTTCGTTTCCGTTTAACCATATAAATGTTCTGTTTTTTTATGAGCTAGTCTTTATGGAAAGTGTTTAAACAAGAAATTAACTTTAAGGAAAACGTGTTTGGTGTTGATCCAGTGCAAACCTGTTGGATCACAGTGTTGCTAGTCTGAACTTGCAACTCAGATGAAAACTTGTCTGCTAGCAGGAAAATGCACAAACTACTAAGATGTGTTTAAAAATATATATCATGCGACGTATAAATTTCTGGATACAGTAAACAGAAAATAGTTTGGCATCAGAACCTCAAAGTCAGATATAGCAATCATCAGTATGTCAGTCCATTCATAAATCACTCATGAACATGTTTGGTAGAACCTGCACCTGTTCAAAGAGTCAGAGTCAGAGTTTCTTTATTGTCATTCGCACCTCATGTGGTACATGTGGTGGAGCGAAATTATGTACACAGGGTCCCAGTTACATCCAACAATAAAATATAAAAGAAAAACAGTAATAACATCTAAGATGTGAACTAAGAAAAACATCAACTCAATATACACTAAGCACTCATAACATAAACATTATGTCGAACATCAGAACAAACATGAACATGAGTCTGTGTGAGCAGATGAGCACGCATGAACACATCAACATTGAAACAGATCAGCAACATGTGATTTATTTCACAGTGATTATTCTGGTTAGAGATTCATGAGTCTATCAGCTTCAGGGTAGAAGCTGTTCCTCAGTCTAGTGGTTCTACACTTAATGCTCCTTAACCTCCTTCCTGAGGGGAGCGGGGCATAAAGTGTGTGTGTGCTGGGTGAGTGGGGTCCTTCATGATGCAGGTGGCTCTCTTCCTGAATCTGGAGGTGTAGATGTCTGTGATGGTGGGGAGACTGACTCCGACAGACTTCTGTGCAGCCTTCACCACTCTCTGCAGAGCTTTTCTTTCTGCAGCTGTGCAGTCTCCATGCCACATGTTGAAGCTGGAGGACAGGATGCTCTCCACTGCACACCTGTAGAAGGTGGTGAGGACTGAGCTTCCCAGTCCAGCTTGTCTCAGCCGTCTGAGGAAGTAGAGTCTCTGATGACCTTTCTTGATCAGGCTGGTGGTGTTGTTGCTCCAGCTGAGGTTGTCATTCATGTGTACACCCAAGTACTTGTAGCTGGAAACCACTTCCACCGCAGATCCTCTTATTTTCAGGGGGTGTAGGTGTTTTTGTTCCTTCTGAAGTCCACAATCATCTCCTTTCTTTTCTTCACATTGATGTGAAGGTTATTCTCTTTTCACCAGCTCTCCAGGTGTTCCACCTCTTGCCTGTAGCTGGACTCATCATTGTTTGTGATGCATCCCACTACCACTGTATCATCTGCAAACTTTAGAATGTGACAGCCTGGATGGGTAGGTGCACAATCATACGTGAGCAGAGTAAACAGGAGGGGGCTCAACACACATCCCTGAGGAGAGCCAGTGCTGAGGGGTTATGGTGGAGGAGGAGAAGTTGTGGATCCTCACTAACTGTGGTCTGTTTGTTAATAAGTCTAGTACCCAGTTTCAAATGGAGGGGCTTAGTCCTAGTGTGAGTATTTTGTCCATCAGGGTTTGGGGGATCATGGTGTTGAAGGCGGATGTGAAGTCCACAAAGAGCATATGGACGTAAGATTTTTTTCTGCTCCAGGTGGTTGAGCGCAGTGTGGACCACAGAGGAGATGGCATCCTCTGTTGATCGGTTCTCTCACGATATACATACTGATGAGGGTCCTCGTTGATGTTGATGGTTGTTTTGATGCGAGTCATGACCAGTTTTTCGAAGCATTTAGCAACTATCGGGGTGAGGGCCACTGGCTGATAGTCATTCAGACCAGACAAACTTACCCTGCGTGCCGAAGAAGTACTTTTAAAATGTAAAAGACCATGAAATTTTTTAATATTTGCTGACAAAAAAACAAGTTTGTAAGTTGCATTGAAGATATGATTACTTTTTCTCCAGTTAAAATGTACATGTATTTGTGAATTTAGCCGTCAAACATTTATGGCTAATAATTTATTTACCGAAGTTTGATTGTTAGTTGTTTTTGTCCAAAGCAGTTATGTTGGATATAAACTAAGAGGCTAGCTTATTAGCATAACCTTTTTCAAATCTGTCTTTGCAGAAAACATTATAATATTCCAGAAAGGAAGACCAACTCTTGCAGGAATGACAATGATAAGAAGTGATGAAAAACGTTTTGAAATGGGCCTTTATCAATGCTACTTGAAAAAGATTTTTTTTCTTCCTAGTAGTCTTTTTTTTTTATTTGTTTTCAGCCAGCTGAAAGTTAATAAATTGTGTTGTTGGAGATGTTTTATTTCACAACGGACAAATCATCATCAGAGCTGGATTTGAAAATTTAATGAAGTCAGCTCATCTCTGCAACCTATGGAAAGTTTAAAAGTTTTGGAACGGTTGTTGAGCTAAAGAAAACAATGAAATGTTTAATTTAGGTTTGCATCAAGAATGTTTAATAATACATTTGTTTTTTGGTTTCATTATAAGATAAAATTTTATAGAAACTGTAAATTTTGTGGGTTACTGTTGAAATTTCAGTATGGATCATAAAATGTACACGTTGTACCTGAATGCACCATGTGTTTCTTTAAAAAGGTGTGCATTTGTGTAAAAAAAATTTAAATAATTAGAAGCGCAGATTGCGTGAGAGCATATTATATCTGAGCTGAAAGCCCAGCTCTAATAGTTACGGTTCATTGTTGCTTTTATTAAATCTGCCATTCATAAGTTTATGGTTTGTATTACTTGGCATGGTTGTTAAAAGTCAGCAGTGTGATGACTGGAGCACTTCTTGAGGAGTTCCTTTAGACCTTTCTTTCTGCGTTTTTCTTTGTGTGGATTGAAAAGAATCCATGTGCTGCATTTAAACAAGAACCCTCCCTGATTACATCCACATGCAAACTGCAGATATTAACTTGTTTAATAATTTGCAGGAGTTTGAGTAAATGTGACAGCAACACTTGATGTTTAATTTATCTTGACTTGTGAAAGGAAAACGTGGCTTTTTTTTTAATCTCATTTTGTATATTACCTACTATGGTATCATAATAGATCAGGGATTTTAAACTGGTTAAATGAGTTTAAGACGAGTACGATTAGAGTTAAAAAATAGAGGCTGAATCAGTCCAAGCCTCAAAGTCCCATTACAACACACCCAGCAATTTTTTTTTTTTTTTCTGAGAATTATTCTGAAGTTCAAGTGGATTCATTGTCATTTCAACCATAAAAATTTTGCACGGTACACTGAAACAAAACAACGCTCCATGACGAAGGTGCTACATGAAAAACAAATTTCACAAACTAACAAAGGGCACATGCAAGCAGGTGCAACAATGCAAGACAAAAGTGCACTAACCACATAAGACTATACAAAGTGCACTTGTGCAAACATGAGCAACAAGCTCCATGCCTCCACTGTACTGTATTTGTTACGTAACTTAATTTTTTTTACATCTAATTTTTGCACAATGACCAGAAACTGACTGTTTTTCTGACTCGGCTCGTCCTTTCAGCGGGGGGCTTTCATGTGAAGTGTTCTATCACACCAGGAAGTTGTGATATATTATAAAGTACCTAAGAGACAAACCTGCTGCTGTGGCGCTTGTTTTTACCTGCCCGACTTGATGTGGGACTTTGCAAGCCAACAATATGTCAAGAAAAGAAAGCAAACAAATATTTAATTAAGTTGAAATCAAAATAATCAATCTGAACAGACTGTAAGGCTTCTAATCCTTTTAACTGGACAGTTCTCGCCATCCATTTACATAAAACTGACACCAGTCGGTCTATAATCCTAGATGGGTCTTTTGAGGATGGGATCACAGATTCCTTCCACTGGTTGGGGACAGAACCAGAATCCAGAGGCTGCTGAAACCATCTGTGAGAGGTCCATTTAACTGACTGCTGCAGTTCTTCAGGACCCTGCCTCTGAGCTTTGGTTTTGGAGTTTTTGGATGTCACCAGGTGTCTGCTGATGATGAGGTGGGGGTGTTCAGCAGTGGGTAAGTCCAGGTCATAGGTTGTTGTTGTTGTGGAACCAGGTGAAGAACTTGTTCAGTTGATCCTCGAGAGAGGCGGGATCTGAACAGCTGACCGCTGCAGACTTTGTGACTCGACCCATCATAGAGTTCATGGCCTGCCACGCCTCTCTTACGTTTCCAGATGTTGGTTTGTCCTCCACCCTGTTCTTGGAGTTGATCTTGGCCTTCCTCCTGTACACTGTTTCTGGCTCCGCTTGAAGAAAAGCATGTGCAAAATAATAATAATTA